GGCACTGGAGATGAAGCACAGCAGTGTGGGAGCCTAGGTGCAGGCCCGGCTGGCGCATGAGGATAGATAACCCTTTGGGGCTCATCTCAGCAAGTCAACTCCAGCACCTTCTCAGGTGAGCTTCCAGTCTGCTTCAGGGGGAGGCAGGATGGCTGTCTGAGCTCTGGGAGCCAGGGAGGAAAGGGGCCCAAAGGAGCCTCAGTGCTGAACATGTGGACCTGCACTTGGTCCCTCTGGTTTGCACCTGTATCCACCTCAAACACATCTAGGCTCTTCAGGGCTCAGTGCCCCCTCCCCATGTTGCCTGAGGAGCTGGGACGGGGTAATACCTGGCCGAGTCAGGATCAGGGGTCCCTACCTTCTAACAACTGCCCTACTTTCTGCACCCCTTGTCCTTCAAGGTTCCTGGTGCTGTGCACCCTGAGCCTTTCTAGAGACAAGGCGCCCCCAGCACTCTCCCTGTCTGAGTGTGCTCCATGGGCTCTGTCAGTTTCCACTCACCTGTCTACTTCCACCTTCCAAACTGCTCCTGCTATTTCCTCATTCATTTTTGTGGATTTCTGAACTATAACTTTTAACTTTTATCATTGCTTCAGTGAGTTTTCACTAAAGATAAATGACTGCTCAATACACTGAACTAAATGGAAACTCTACATTAACAAAACTATTCTGATGTAATTATCCCATTCTCAACTCTCTGGGTTGTACCCAAATTACTTGTAGAATAACTAACTTAATAATAAGCCATGTGACTAATCAGACTACATAAATTGCTTCTGGAAAGTTTCTTTTAAAAAGGTACTTCTGTGCTCGCTTCAGCAGCACTTATACTAAAAAGGTACTTCAGGGGACAGGGAATTAACTCAGTGGTGCTGCCGCCTGTCTTGCAAGTGCAAGGTCCTGAGTTCAAATCCCAATACCAAAAAAAAAAAAAGTACTTCATCCTTTTCTATGCTAAATAAAAGGGCTAAGAATTAAAGAAAGATTAGTTTACAAGTAAGTTTTAAACAATGTTCCATATTTATTATTTCTACTATTTATATTTAGAGAAACAAGTTAATTAGAATTCAGAATTTCTACTGATTCTGTGAGCTAAGTGTGCCTGCTCTTAGCTGACCTTTCAAAAATAAAAAGCCGGGGATTGAGCTCAGAAGTTCCACCACTTGCCTTGTCAGCGCAAGGACCGGAGTTCGATTCCCGGTAACAAAAATATAAAAATCAAATCAAATAAAAAATAAACAAAACCCCTATCTCTCTTTTCTTCAATGACCCTGCCAGAAATTTCATCGCTCTATCTTACAGATAAGAAAGGTGACAATAGGTCATTTGCAAAAGGTCAAGCAGGTTGAAAGTGGAAGAGAAAAATTCAAGCTTAGGTCTCCAAAGGGCTTTTCATAATAACCCAAACTGTAATTCTATTAATAAATCTGAATTAACATATTCCAGGCTAGCTTTAAACACCAGAAGTGCATGCATGACTGTCCCACTGTGGACTGCACCACTCGGTGGGACTGTCCCACGCCACCCAACAGAACAGTCACAAATGTCCCACTGGTGGTTCAGAGTCACCCAGCAGCAGCAAGACATGGAAATTACACGGCTCCATCGTGAATATGTTAACTCAGTAATAATCATTTCAGGGTGAAAATATGACTTCAACTTAAATTCCAAGTCTAATGCCTAGATAATTAGATGCATATAATATATGCTTTGGCATTTCTGGATAAATATTTATTTTATGAAGACACTATGACTATTAATAAATACCTACATATGCAACTTTTTTGTTTGTTTGTTTGTTTTTTGTTTTTTGAGACAGGGTCTTACTATGTAATTAAGACTGACCTGGAACTCATTACATAGCCCAGGCTGGTCTCGAAATCACAGCGATCCTCCTGCCTCAGCCTCTCAAGTGCTGGGATTACAGGCATGTGCCACGACTCCTGGCTCATATGTAACTTTTTTCAGATGAAGTCTTAGAAAGTCAGTGAAAGTACTAGTTAATTTCTCACCCTTGAAATTCTGCACTGAAACTTTTAGAGTTAAAAAACTGTGAGGTCAGCTGACATTCATTTCCTGTTTACGTTGAGAAGTACACAACTTAGAAATGTGGGCCTATTACAGTGAGATGGTCACTTCTATTCACCTACAGATTTCAAGCTCCTGATTGTAAATCAGTGGTCTTCAACTGGTAAACTACTTTTCTGACATATTCAGAGTAACAGGCGTTATCAACAAAATTGTATCACATTTAAGTTCGTTAAAAAAGATCCACTAAACTTTCATTTTATAACATAAATTATAATACATTAATTAAAATGGATCGAGGTCACTGGGTGACAGTGAAGAAAAGCATGACAAATAAAATTTCATAGCTCTAAATCTTACTGCTTTCATTTGTATCTAATCATTTTATCAAAACCTGGGATTTGGTTTTATGTATTAAAATGTTACATGCTATTTCAAACAGTCAAATTTCCACTCCATACTAATAAAAACAGTCACACTATTCATGTAATTTTTGTATTCAAGCAGCTAAAAAACATACCAGGCATTAAAAAAAACAGAATACCTATGTACACACTTAATCGTTGCACAATGAATAACCAACGTTACCTAGTGCTGGCTCTGACTGGCAGAGCACTTCCTAGGCAGGTGTCAGGTGCCACTGCAAGCCCCTTGCCATAACTTAATCATGGACAACTCTAAGGATACTGTTGTTCTCATCTTACAGCAGGAAATCACAAGGTAGGGTCACACAACCTGCACACAAGCTGTCCAATCTGCTGCAAAAATTTCTCTCAAAGTTCCCAGACTTCCTGCCATGTTCCTCAGAATGCTTGAGGCATAATAAATGAACTCACTTCCATGACTTAACTTCTTCAACAACAGAGTATTTGCCTAACTTTTCCTTTAACACTGGAGACTAGTCTAGCCGCCACTAGTTCTACCACCCTCTTGGGAGAAAACTAGAGTTCCTTGTCTCCCACAGGCTGGTCTGGAAGTTCTCTAGGTCACAAGGCTCACCACTCACTCGAAAGTCCTCCCATTCTGAATGCGGCCACAGTGCTTCCTGTAACCTCCACAAGCCAATAAAGCTGACAGAAACCTTCTCCAGGAGGACTCACACACAAAAACTTCTGTGAACAATCTGACCCAGGGCATCCCCGAGCTCCTCAGAAGCCCTCTGTGCAGAGCCTGCACAGTCTCTCAAATTGCAGTTCCTCAACCACCCAAAGGAGTGGTTCACCTGGAAAGCCTCTTTTAGGCAATGCCGCTGGAATGTATTCTAGTTTGGGCTTCCCTATGACGGAGGCCAACAACAGTCTGCTTTTTGTTGTTGATGTTACTGGAGACTGAACCTAGTGCCTTTGCACTGAGCTACTTCCTTAGTCCTCTATTTATTTTTAGAAAAAAAATATTTCCTTTTGTTTTTTGAGAGGTGGTCTCCCTCTGTAGTTCAGGCTGATCTCAAACTCACGGGCATCCTCCTGCACCAGCCTCCCACGTGCTAAGATTACAGGCATGAGTCACTACATCTAGCTTATTTTTTAAATTTTGAGATAGGGTCTTCCTAAGTCACTAAGTTACCCAGGCTGGGCTTGGGCAGAGGACTTCTGCCTCTGCCTCCTACAGTGCTGGGATTATAAGTATGCACTCAGCTAGCACGCTGTATTTTAAACTGTCTCCCTCGGTGGTTCCTATGGCTCCTTATCAACTCCCCAGGCTGAATATAATCACTATGTATCACAAACTTTTACTAATAAAAAAAATTTAAAAAGAAAAGATGCACTTCTAACGGTCTGAAGAATCTCTGGCCTAAAACACTCGGTAAGCACTTCTGTCCCACCCAGTGGCATTATTTTAGAAAACTTCTAACAGCAATGGGATAATCTATGACTTCTACACATTTTTAAATGTCTTGTGTATCAGAGACCAGCCCCTCCCACCGCAATAGTGGCTCTGTCCTCCTCCTGCCACATCCTCGACCCTGAACTACTCTACTCAACTGGAAGACCAGTGGCATACTCTGTCCCACCTCTCCGTCTCCTCCACCACATCTACTCTCCAGCCTCAGCCAGCCTCCAGTGCAGACAGCCAGTCTCATGCCCGCTCACCGGCACCACAGACACACCTGCCATAGGCTTCAGAGATTTCCCACCATTTCCAGCCCTGCCCGAGACGGCCACGGTGGGTCCAAGAGGCCACAACTGGACTAGCAGGCTCCTGCCCTTAACTTCTGTTCCATTTCCACTTCAGGTAGGCCGTGAGATCATCATCGTCATTACCACTGGTACTTCAGAGCACTAGTAACCCTCACAACTCCACGAGACCAACGTTTTATTATTGCCATTATAAGACAATGACACTGAGGCCAAGAGAGTCCTCTGCCAAAGGTGCCATAGCTAGTTTATGACAAGACTGGCAGCCTATCCAACCCCTCTCCACAGCCTGGGCTTGGGTTGCTTCTTTCTTGACTCTTCTGTTAAGAAGGAGAAGTGAGAACAGAAAAGGCAGCACAGTCACTCACTGTTGGGGAAAAAGCAGACCCAGGCAGCTACTCAGAACACTTGCCGTTCACTCTGCTTCCCTCCATCTTGAGGCTACAGATGTGCATCTTCCTCTGCCCTTAGCTTTTTACAACTCTTCTCTATAAAATGGCAACAGTCAGCAATTTAAGAAAAGGCTGGGCGTGGTGGCACACGCCTGTAGTCCCAGCCCTCAGGAGGCTGAGGCAGGAGGATCACTGTGAGTTCAGGACCAGCCTGGGCTACAAAGTGAGTTCCAGGTCAGTCTCAACTACATAGTGAGACCCTGTCTCAAAAAACAAAACCAACCAAACAAACAAACAACCAAGCAATTTAAGAAAAAGTTTTGGAAATCTTCTTAATGAGCTTCACAGGTTGAAACCTTGGTATTTTATTGGTCCAATTTTATAAAAAATAGAACATGAAAGAAGTGTGGAAAACTTGGAGACTGAACAATTTTTTTAAACTCACCTCTTACTTTTCTTGTAGTTCTCCAGGTGTTGGAACTGTACATGTTTGCATCTTTCTAACTCACACTGCCCACACAAATCCTCCAGATGAAGCAGGTGATTTTCTACCTCCTCAAAACTGGCCTCTAAATGAGCTAAAAGTGCATAAGAAGAAATAACACGTGTCAAGAGTCAGAATTCCTGAACACGAAGTAACAAAAAGGAAAAAGTTTAAACTGTTGAGATTGTTTTGCATTTAACAATCCTTATTAAACTTTCCTGAAGCAAAATACACTGACCAACATTAAAGGACAATTCAAAATTATTTTCTGAGTAAGTTTCAATTATTTCCAAGAGGTACATGTAGCCGGGCGTGGTGGCGCATGCCTGTAATCCCAGCACTCAGGAGGCTGAGGCAGGAAGATTGCTGTGAGACCAGCCTGGGCTACATAGTGAGTTCCAGGTCAATCTCAACTACATAGTGAGACCCTGTTTCAAAAAAAACCAAAAAAAAAAAAAAAAAAGAGGTACATGTAATTTTCCAAAATACTTTATTAACCAGGATGAAAAAATAAACATCTTGATTAATCTTATATCTTAATGATCCTGTACATATGTGAATAAACAATTTTCACATCCTGAGAATACAGCAAAATATAATTAACACAAATTATACCAACATAATTTAATATTTATGACTTTAAGTATTTCAGCATTTGTTTGCCTCTAGCATATCGAGGACATAAATCTCTAAGGCACAGAGGATCTGCACAAATACATGGGAGGCCAGGCTACCAGGCTGGTCAGTGGGTGGGGAGAGCTCCAGCTCGGTCTGCTGGGTGACTCGTCTTTCCTCACATTACCCTGTCCCAGACCACAGAGCCCTACAGCTTTACTGGAACACAAACATCACCTGGTCAGATCTTTCACTGAAAAGATTCAAGGCCAAAGCCTGGAGAAACCAATCTAGCACCTCGCCCAAAGAAGACACATAGGTGGGAAAGGCAGCTCAATCCAAACAAGTTTCTTCCATACTATCATTTCCGGTTGACAGGATGCTAACTGAACTTACTTCACAGGTGTAGGGACAAGGACGACACAGAAGAGGAGAGTAGAGGTCACAGGTTTTAGAATTCAAATGGCCTCATGACCATTTACTGCGCACCCACTGACACCTGCTCGTCTGTCACAGGGACACAGGTGAGATGACAGGCCTGGTGTTCACGGAGACTACAGGAGAGGGAGACAATGCCAGGGGTGACACAGCAGGAGTGTGCAGGGCAGGAGCTCCCAGGAATGGCATCTAACCGTCAGGGTGAGCTTGGCAGGGATGGCTTACAAGTTGGGAAGTGACAGTGAGCCCCTCGCTGTTAGGGGATCTTAAGTGGAAGAACATAGCCCAGAGATAAGTTACAGGTATGAGTTTGTTGGGAAAAAATGAAAACATTATTGCTATTTCGATCTATTAGACACACAGAGCTTGTTTACATGTGCTCTTTACTGATAAACACAATTTTTATTTTATTGGTGGGAGTGGTTTAAGACAGAGTCTCACTATGTAGCCCAGGCTGGCCTCAAACTTGTAGTGATCCTCCTGCCTCAGCCTCTGGACTGCTGGGATTACAGGTGTGCTCTACCATACCCAGAGGACAAAAAAATTTTCAGTTTTAAGTAACATTTATAAAATTTCATCTTTATTAAGTTTTCTCTATGAAGAAAACTGGAAATACCCTGGGGAAGGCAGAGCAAAGGCAAGCTGACTGTGCAGCCTTTCAGTCTGGGGCTCACTCACATATAGGAGCTATGACACAATTCCTTCATCTGCACACGTTTTCACAGGACTTTCTAAACCAGTTCTTGTAGCATCTAGGTTAGGGGGCCAAATCCTCAACTTTCACCTTGCAATGCAGGTTAATAAGATAGAAATTTTGCATGTTTTTAATTCATCTTTCCTTGGTCTAGAAATACATTTTCTAATACCCTAAATTTTTACTTTACTACCTACCTGGGCTTATAAAAACTCCCTCTTCCATTTGGTAGGACCAAAGGCATAAAGGTATGAATTTTGGAGCAAAAGAAAATTTTAATGAAAAGTGAAAATGTGATGACAAGTAGTTTAGCAGTGTAAATGTGAAGCCATTTCAGGTGCTGACTTTTGTCATAAGAATGTATCACTGCACAACACCGCAATGTCTGGGAGAGGCTGATAGTGACATAGCTCACGCTGGTTTTCAATCTGACTTTGGGGCCATATAAAATAACAATATGTGAGATTATGGAATTTCTAAATAAAATGTTATGCAAAAATATAAATTTCAACCAATGATTAATTATATCTAAGACTCTGAAGAAAAATTTAAAAGGTACATAAAGAAATTAAATAAAAGGTAAAATGGTGTTAATTACATTCGCATTTAAAAATTTTTATTAAATAAAAAAATGACTAGGAAAGGGCCAGGGATTTAGCTCAGTGGTGCTGCTGCCTGCCTCACAAGTGCAGGTTCCTGCGTTCGATCCTGGGTACCAAAAAATGAGTAGGAGACTCCACCTGGAGAGCTAGTGCTACAGTACTAGCACTGAAGGAGCAATACTCATCTCATTCTACTGACAAGGTCTTACAACATACAAAAGACTGTCATAACTAATACATTATTTAGATGGAAACAAAGTCTTTGTAAATAGGGAAGGGTGAAGGGGTGAAGGGAGGGCAGGGGTAAGAGAGAAAAATAAGAACCAAGATGTATCATATAAAGGTACAAGATCCCAATGACAAATATAACTGTATCAATAAATATACCAATAAACTTAAGGGAAAACAAAACAAACAAAGGAGAGCTCACTATGCTTAGCGATAACTAGAATTTCATTTAATACCGAACCCATGTTACCGAGCACACGCCCTTGCCATCTGGAAGACTGGTTTAAGCCCACAAACCCTGCTCTGCCCCTCGAGGGAGCTGTGATGTGGCATCGCACCAGTGAAAGGGGCTAATAACACACATCTTGGCAAATTGTCAAAAGGACTGAGTGAGTCAAAGTACCTAAATTTAGCACTGACAGTAATGAAATGAATATACAAAAATGCACATGCTGAAATCTTTTCATAAAGATTAGCTAAATTTTATAAAACTCATTTCAAACTTATAGCCCTGTTGACCAACATAATGTAAGCAAGATCTAAGGATAGATTATAGTATCAGTAATATTTTCATTTTTTTCCTTACAAACTCATACACAGTACCTATAAATCATGCTGTGGAGATTCTTCTTAGACTTAAGATAGCCTTTATGTAAAGGAATTAAATTTCAATTGATTTTTTAAAAGAAAATAAGTAATGGAGTCATAACTACTCTACATTAGATAATATGTAATGTTCTTTTTACATTTTTAATTTTTATTTGGACAGATGGCAATTTCCATGCAGATTCTGGCTCTGCTGGTTGACTACAGAACTAATGGGGCCAGGAGCTTGAATGAGGTTGATCCTCAGGCAGGCCAATTCATTTCTTATGGGCTAAATCCTGTCCTAGATACAAACTTTACTTGGTGTGCCAGTCACTGTTCTGTTAATGACGGGGGACCAGGTGTGAGTGGTTCAGTACCAACTTGGAATTCCTAACAAGAAGGAAAGAAAGAAATATCCTTCTGAATAGGCTGACAGCATCATTTTGTTTTTGATTTTTTTTTGCTGAATGGCAAATTTCAGGATGCCTGGGGTAGCCAATGGTCACTTGTTACCGCCAAGTTGATATTTATGAATTTAGAAAGCTTCAAAGGCCACTGAATCTTTTCAGAAGCAAGTTAAACTCCTTAGCTTAGCATTCCTGGAAGCCATCACTCTCTGGCCACAGTCTACTGTAATAACCCTATCACCACTGTCCTTCACATATTCTTTCTACCTCACAGCAGAACAGGAGCACTCACCATTCCAGGGGCCCCCCAGCCCTGCCTCCTTGCTTCACCTGTCTCTGACGTGCACTCCTTTGCACCCCCATGGACTCCTCAGGCCTGGGCCTGTGTGAGCCCTGCCTCCAGCACACAGGCTCTCTTCCTTCTCTGCGCTTGCAGTCTTTAAACCTCATACGGGACTCGTCTTCTCACAGACATCGTGTGACCAGCCGTGTCCCGTCATGGCAGGAAATCAGTACAGGACTTAAAGGTAAATACCATGTTCTTGCAGTTTTAGCTCCTAATAGCTAGTCTACTGAATTCCATTAAGAACGACCTGTGGTGATAAGGTGACTCTATTACTCTAAAACATAAAAAAATCGAGAAAATAAATCTATGATTCATGTTTATCTAATTCAAATACCAAGAGCTTGTGATAAATTTTGTAAAAGAATACAAACATGAGCAGAGAACTTAGAAAACATTAAGCAACATGATGGTATTTTATTAATAGTATGTCAAACCAGGCCACATTATCAATGAGTTAAGCAATGAGAATTTTCTGTTTTAATTCTTAATAAGCTTGAGGGCCGGGGATTTAGCTCAGCGGTTCAGTGGCCTGCCTTGCAAGCTCAAGGACCCGAGTTCAATCCCCGGTACCAAACAAACAAACAAACAAACAAAAAAAAACCAAGCTTGAAACCAGTAACAAAATATAAAATTATATTTAAACACAAGTTTTATCCATTTTATATTAAAAACTTTATTTATTTTTATTTTTATTTTTTTGGTACCAGAGATTGAACTCGGGTCCTTGCGCTTGCAAGGCAGGCCACTGAACCGCTGAGCTAAATCAAATCCCCAGCCCTATATTAAAAACTTTAAAATAAAATTCTTAAATTATTACAACTATGTATGTATTCCAAGTATTTATATTGAATTTAACCTGGCAAAATGTTCCTTTTGCAACCTGCTTACTTCATACCGGAAAACCAGTTGGTAGCCAAATTTAGTAATCTGGTAGCCAATTTAGAACACATGTATGTAAGATGCCAGTAGGCCTCCAAACACAAACACCTTTACAAGGAGCTCAAGCTGCACCACTTTGCTCACTATAACACAGCATATGTCTCATTATAGTGATCAGTGAAAAAGATAGGTAGAATTTTATTGTGAGAAGCCATTTGGGAACGCCTGACAGCTGTTCAGGAAAGAGCTCCACAAATCTTTGTGAGAAGATTGTCCCAGAGGAAGAACAATTTTGCT